GCGTCGGGTATTTCGCAATTATTCGATGGACAATTCGTTGTCCCATCGAATTCAGATTAGTCGGCTTAGCTGGTTAGGACATGTATTGCGCATGTCCAGTCATCGTTTGCCGTACCGCGCCTTATTCGCAGTTACGGCTCCAGGTTGGAAGAAACTGCGTGGAGGCCAACAGGTGACGTGGAAGCGAAGCGTGATGAAATGAACAGAGCCATTAGGTAGAATCGGTGTCTCCCGTCTTCCAGGTTGGGGTCCGATTGTGTAACTGGCTGGCTGGAGACATAAAAGGATATGGCGACTAACCGACAGCCGTGACGTTCTTGTTGTTATTTCTTATCAAGTCAGAATGCTTGAAAAGGTATGTATGCACACTTCGATTGTGTGCTGTGTGTGTTGACCATAGAGGTTCTTATTCTTTGCCTCCTTCCAATCAGGCCCAATCCCTCTCCAACTTGAGGTTTATTACTTGATTTGTGTACATTGTGAGCTTGGCAGCGATCGGTGAAATTCGCTTCACTGTATCTCGCTGTACGACGATTATGACAGAAGGTTTATTACCGTCATTAGCCCGGAGAAACTAGGTCTTGCAACTGTGAAGTAAAACAATAAGAACAGAAACGTTAGGACACCGTCTCCTATTTCCTATTTTTTGTACTATAAAATACCAAACAGGATATATTCTCACGAGTCATTATTGGACAGATACTAGTTATCGACTTAGATCGTTCAATTTAGACTCCATGATATTGTTTACACAAATCAGTATGGCAGATAAACTAAGCCAAGTGACAGCAAGCGGGGTCAGGAAATCCCATGCAAATGAAGCACGGATAACACAGACCCCACACATCAAGAACTTTGCATTTTTATCCGTTTTGTTCCTGTTGTAACTATTACTATTCTTTGATTCTTTGGCCTCAGGACAAACACAATGCGGACAGCAGTCGTTGCATGAGTTCGCAGTATTGCAGTCATTTTTGAGCTGTGACGATGGCAATAGTGACAGATAGATCATGCGGTGGACATCAACGCTCACTGCGTGAAAGTGGTGTGCGTGCCCCTATGGAAAGATATGCAGTCAACCAAACGGAAATAGCTGTTTTACCGGATATAGTTTCGATGTAATAGCCAGAGATGTACTCCGGAATACAAGTCAAGTGAAACGGAAATGATCACATTTTGACTTCAAGAGATGTTATGAATTAGTCTGTGATATATTCATTGGAGCAGATTCCGTTCAGAAGCTAATCGCGGTGAAACACATGGAAAAGGTGAAAAAAATTACCACAGCCCCGGTCAGCACTTTGATGATCTTACTGTTTATTTATAAATCCCATTAGGATCATGGAAACCGGGTTGTCTGTTGAGAATCACCAGGTCTATGATGCGGTCAATATGCGAGATCTAATTAAACACCGTGGTACTCACTTGAACTGGATTTGGGAGTGGGGTTCGCAGCAGGCACAACTTTCGGAGGTGGTGGCCGTTCCGGTTTAGGGTCCGAAGTAATGTTAATTACTTTTGAACCAGAGTCTGTCGGTGTTTGTCTCTCAAAAGACGGGCGGAAGTCATAACTACCTGGAACGGGTGACCTTCTCTGCGTCACAGGTTGGGTCGGGTTTGCAACTGGTGTTGAAGGAGGTGCTGATGGTCTTGATGGTGATTTGGGCTCCGGTGCAGGTGCAGATGGGCCTGGTGGTGATGGTGCCATAGGTTGAACCGGAGGGGCGGAAAACCCGAAACCGTACGCACCAGGAGGTGGGCCGCTTGGACCTGGGTGCATTGGTGCGGAATTAAAACCGCCAAAACCCATGTTTGGGGTGAATCCTGGTCCCTGTTGCCATCCGAAACCTGGAGTCATATTGGGTGGATCGATAAACCGATTTGGTGGCTGGTTCGTGTTTGGGTAAAAGGTTTGTCCAACCGGGAAACACGGTTGTTGGTTGAAACCAGGACCTGGTGCAGGACCCGGGAAACCAGCCTGTCCCGACGCATCCATGCACCAACCATAGCCAGGCGCTTGAGACATTCGAATTATTCAGACTGAAATGGAAAAAAAACTGACAAACTGAAATGCCTTCCAAAAAGGATTGGCTTCAGAATAATTGAGTATATGGCAATCTGTTACTCCGATCTACACATTTTCCGTTTCGATTCAGCTCCTTTTGAAACATGGTATTCTGGGAGGTNGGTTACTTTCGTCTTCTGCCAGGTATTCCGTTCACGGCCTTCGCGTGGTAATGCTCACATCATTATTACCGTACAGCGAAATCAATTTCAGTTTAGACAACCATTAGGCATGTATTTCGATGAGACGCGAAATACAGTGAAGCGAACCTCGCTGATCGCTGTCAAACTAGCAATGTATATAAGATTAGTGGTAAAGTTTAAATGGGCAGGGATTGGACCTATTTCGAGGGAGGGGAAAGAAGACAAACCTCTACGGTCTCTGATCTGAAAGTGCGAGGAATCGCTTCCGAGGTCTGAAATTTTTTGCAGATTCAGAGATTTTTAAATCCCTTCCGGGGACAGACAACTAGAAATTGATACGAGAATATCTTGGAGCTGACGGCTGCATGTCCGACTCATCATCTTAAAGCAAAATAGTGGGTTTACCCTGTCTGCTGTTCATCACACTAAGATGTGCAATAAAAAGATGGTGGGTCTACCAAAAGAATGTCGCTGTTCCAGAACTTGACCGAGAGTGAAGATGTAGTCGATACAACCTCGGCCAGGTCTAAGACCAGTCTGGTTCACGCGTGCACTCTTTACGTGCGGCAGGCTATCGAGCATGATCCCAGGGAAAAGTTCAGAAGCAATGTTGTTTAAACTAATTCCTCTGTAGTTTTATCAAGAAGATCTGTCACTTTTCTTATAAATCGGTAAGATGATCGATTGATACCATTCAATTGGAACCTGTTCTCTAGCCCATAATGAGCCCATGAGTTTCATCAACTCCAACACACGCTGAACCCCCATCCTTAAAAGCCGATGGAAACAGCCCATCGTAGCCGGAGGTCTTATTATTATTATTATTGCCCGGGAAACGTTCAGGTCAGATGAATAACTGGTAGTTTCACTATCGCCGCACTGAACAATCCTGTTGCTCGCTACCATGAGCTCAATGGCTTATGATGAGTGAATCGCCGGTTCGATTGACTACGGGTTTGCTTCATTCATTGTTTGTTTTGTGTGATATATATATATATATATGTATATATATATGGATCTTTCGCTTTCCTTTTATCAGGATCGCTGACTCATGAGAGATCCGATGTGTTCGACGAACTTCCGGCTCGGCCTCACAAGCAAAGTTTGCTGTTAAATGTACCACACATCTGGTTGGATCCCCCTGTTGATCAACTCCACCACGTCGCTATGCTCCTCCTGTGTTCAAACAGCTGGACTGCGCAGACGATGATCAAACTGAGGAAGCGATTCTTGACGACGACCGAGGAGTCTAAGCGTGAATCCCATCAAATCTAGTGAGTGATCATCTCCGAGTCACGTGGTTCAATAGGATATGTAATTTTGTAATGAACATCGCTAACGGTAGCTGACAGCTACGCCATCAATTTGGGTCAAATTACCTATTGAAGTAGAATACCATGTTGCCGTCAAACGGGAGCTGTATTGACAGCTGTTGCCAGAAAAACGACCGATGATCTGTGTAGAACTGAAGTAGGTGATTACCGTTGTGGTTGTTGGGGGATGAGCTAAACGCCCTTCTATTCAGGCTTCGGATGCTCTTTGAAATCGCCTACCAGCAATAGGACATCAGAGCTACGGCTCAATCAAATAAAGTGAGTGGGTTTATCGTAAATCTCGTCCCTTTGTAAATTTGGACTGAGTTGATAGTTGATAGGGCATATGTCGATATGAGGAATAAGCACCGTTTGATGTTGCTTCACTTCCGAACACCAACTGAACCCTCGAGCCTCACTGCGCACAGACGGCTGTTGACGAGTATTCAATCCATCAATGAGACCCTAGCTTTACCGCTTAGTATGATTCCTATACCCGGCTGACCCAAACAGTGGGCTTCATCTTCTCCTGGTGTGCGAAGGAAGTACCTCAAGGACAGACTCGGTGCATCCAGGTGGCACATAAACCTGGGATACTGAATTCTTGTCTCCGATACAACAGGCACCCAATTCCAAAGAGTCCATTGTACGTTCAAGACACGCTTGTTGGCCCACTAATTATTTTTTATTACACACTTTCGTGTGATGAACAGCATATGGAGTAAACCCCGTAGTCACGGGGACCTGCTGTTCAGTGGTCGAAACCGGTAGCCAAAGCCCCGGGACTTGGAGTGGTGGCCCCGATAGGTTAATCGTGGTATTGAACAGGATGACAGCAAAGCTGCCTACTATCAAAGTTGGGTGGCGGTGGCGGGGCTCGAATCTTGGAGCATAAGGTCCAAAGCACGCCTGTGACAGCGACTAAACTATGGCGCCACCACCACCACCACTGCTTACAGCAAAGGCATAATCAGTGGAAACCTGGTCAGCGAACTTCAGGCAATGTTCCCCGTTCAATATCACAACCGCGCAAAGGGACACGGGATAAAGCTGGCAAAGCAACACTCGGTCGGTCTAACGATAGTTTACTGCTTCAATTTCAGATTTTACAACCATTAACCATGCACTTTCGTGCGCCCGTTTTGGTTGCTGTCTTT